CCACCCAGGGCTCTAGAGCCCAGGACGCCGGTCGGGTGAGGCGGGTGGACCTTGGGGGTGGTCCCTTGGACTTGCGGATCCCGGTGGTTTCGGGTGTTTTCAGGTACCAAACATGCACCAACCAGGACCCTCCTGTCGGGGTGCCCTGTTTGGAAGCCTAGTGCGGTAGTGTGGGGTAGTCCAGCCAGGACACCCCGACAGGAGGGTCCAGGAAATGAAGGATGTTGGTGAAAAAAGAGGGTGTCTTTTTCTGAGCAACTCACCTTCACAACAGTTGGGGCCCAGCTGCTTGTCGAAAAGAAGCGGTCATACCGTCCTACTCGGCTTGCTTCGTGAAACGGTGTGAAATTCCGGACTCTGATCACCAAGATGATCAGCGAAATGGACGAAACGCCAACCAGGAGTGGACTGGCCTTGAAGTCGGCCGAACGTCAACGGACAACTCATAACCCAGACACGACTAATGGGACTGCCATATATGCCGATCAATTGACCCCTGTGGCACCACCCCAATGTAGGCATATATGGTATACATGGAGCGTTTGGGTAAGAGCCTGCACAGACCATAAGAGCCACGTCATGTGGTGAGCACCCAGCGCGAAAAACAAGTGTTGAGCACCCAGCTCCAGGTATTCGAACGCGGTCACCCCACGGTGAATTCAGGGCCCAGCAGAGACCCGGCCCGTTTCAGAAGACAAAAGGGCCCCCAACAGCACTCTCCTCCAGGTCAATCGAGGTGCTGTCACTGGGGAGATGACTGTGTTGCTGGCGGCCGGGCATGTAAAGCCGGTCCGGGCGAGGGTTTCTGGAGGTGACATTGATATATATGGGGAGCAGATCTGGATGTTTCCGTTGGACCATTTCAGATGTAGACCAGTTTGCCGCGCAGTGCTCTTTCCCCGGTCCTTGTCTCTTTGCCGGGCGCCCTGTGTGCATTTGATGCGCGCAATCACGCGCGGGTGTTTCAGAGATTTATCGCTGCCTAGCTACATTATGCTATACATCCCCCAATGACCTGACCTGTACAGACAGGTGCTTTTTCTCCAACCACTTGGCTTTGCCAAATCCATCCAAGCTCCAAACAACACGCCGCACCGCGCGGCGCTCAAACACAAATCTCTTCGAATGCCCAGAGGCATAGCCTAGCACGAGCTGCCAGCACGGACTCCTCTTCCAGCCTTTGTTCATGCCTTTTACAGCTGATTGGTTGATTTACAGTAGTGGAGGCGATCTCAAAGTGAAGCATCAATAGGTAGGTAGATCCTGGGATTCCGACAATTGATCCAACAACTATTGATTTACACCAGCAGTCACAGTCAACCTAAATGGGTTCAAGAAAATGGTGACTCAGTCGTACCTGTGTTTATGGGGTCAATGTCTCATTTTCTGTTCGGTACTAGGTGGTGGGTTTTTAGCTCGCAGATGTTGAATGCATGTGCGACTTGTAAGCACCGGTGTTTTGGGCTTACCGATGTTCAAACACATCGGTCTTTACGGTGACTCGGAGTCGGTTTCTTGGGCTTCACCGCGACCAGGTTCGGGGGGGCCCAAGGCCAAATCCTAGGCAACGCTCTTCCCGGGAACAAAATCCCAATGGTCAGCAACGAATGAAGAATGCCGTTTGGCCTCCAAGTAGCTTCTGAGAAGGTGGGACTGGGGGCCCGGGTGCCAGGAGGGTCCAGTCATTCCTTCTGAGGAGGTGCGACTGGAGGTGTAGGGAATTTACAGTATTTGGGCAGATTTTGGTCTCCAGGTGCCTCCTCAGAAGGTCCAACAGAGGTTGAAGAACCCTGAACTAGGCTATCCCATAACCCAGACACGACTAATGGGACTGCCATGCCGATCAATTGACCCCTTTGGCACCACCCCGAACGCCCGTTTCTCGGCAGTCCGCCCTGGCAGTCCCAGGTCCAGGTCGTGTTTGGGCTAATAGGTTCCCCCCGGGGTGACGGGTCGTTACCGGTCACGTGAAACACCTGATCGACCCTGAGTCTTCGGAGCCCGACTTAACGGGGCTCGTGTCGGCCGTTTCCGGCCCGTTCGGCCGGGCGGACGGGCCGGGGTTGAGTTTAGAGGACACGGAATGGTGTTGGAAGGCTAGGGTATTACTACAGTATCCCCGTTGGGCTCCAAGTACCTTCTTAGAAGGTGGGACTGGGGTTGGGACTGGGGTGGGTGGCAGGAGGGTCCAGATACCGTACCTGAGGAGGTACGACTGGAGCCCTAGGGCCTTTTTTAGAACCAATCTAGTGGCCCATTCCCTGGGTACCACGTTCGGCGTTCGAAGTTTGGGGTCCGTTAGCTAGTTAACGATGTTTGAAACCGACCCCTCCAGGCTTCATCCCAACCGGACGGTCGGCCTATTTTCACCTTACGAGAGCCATGCACTCTCGTAGCGATCGTCGGTTGGTGGAGTCCTAGAGGTTGCTGATGGTTGCTGTGGGGAGTGTGAAGTTCCGCACTCCGCACTCCGGACTGGTACTAGGACCCTCCGACCATCGGGGTGTCCTGGCGAACGACTACCCCACACAGTTCGCTGCTACCGCACGAAAAGGCTTCCAGGTCCAGGGCACACCCTGTTTTGGAGGGTGCGCAGTATATTTACAATATGTACTGATCAATTGGGGTGGTGGGTTCGGGGGGTCAGTTGATCGGCATATATGACAGACATTGACAGACTGTATTCAGCGTTTGTATAATCCTAGGGCTCCTGGCCCAAATCCTTAGGTTCGGTGGTTAGACCCCCCTGCCACCCACCCCAGTCTCACCGGTCACCCAAACGGAGGTGGGCCAGGAGCCCAAACGGGAATATTGGTGCACCCAGACATGTTGTGTCAAACCCTAACGATCCAGTCGTACCGAACCTCAGAAGGTACTTGGACCCTCCTGGCACCTACATAACAGTGCCTCCAATCACCGTACCTGAGAAGGTACGACTGGATCCCTAGGGAAAGATGCAGAACAAAAACCACGCAGACCCCCGGTCTCACGTCTTCGGAAGTCGCTGGCGAGGGGTGTAACGACGAAGCTGGGCGAGGATGGCTGCGTAAAGTTGCAAGACTCCAGGTTAGACATGCCCCGGATTTTGCCTTGAAGTAAGAAGATCGTCATCCAAAAGGCCATGCTATCCGATTGCATTTGGTCAAAGGGGGAGAAAAAGACAGAGAGAGAGAGAGAGAGGCAGAGTTTCTGGATGTTTTTTTTGGTGAACGGTTCCTTTGATTTCGTCGTGAAATTGATCAGTGGAACATTAATCGTGTGGTCACTGACCACTACCGGTTTACACTTCCCTAGGGATCCAAGTACCTTCTCAGAAGGTACTTGGACCCTCCAAACCTGCATAACAGTGCCTCCAATCACCTTCTGAGAAGGTACTTGGATCCCTATAGGGACTTGGTTCACTACAAAAAAGACCGTACGAACCATGCCGCAAAACAGTAAACAGACCAGCACCCTCCGACCTTCGGGGTGCCGCCTGTACTATAGGTGGTGTGGGGTAGTCCAGCCAGGACACCCCGAAGGTCGGAGGGTCCAGGTACAAACCCAACATCTTCCAGTGCGATGCTTCGGTTCTGGCACTTTTCATGGATCCAATGACTCGCCTGGGAGGGGGTCCAGTGCTGGCGATGTCCCGTGCTCTTTTGCCGGAGCGATTCTGAAGACACTCCGGTTTCGTGCCGCGAAAGAAGAGCGCCCGAAAAAAGGGCGACCGCTGACCGCCCCGCTTTTCGCGGTTGTTCGTGGTGCTCCGGTGTCGTGAAGAAGACGACGGGTCCTGCCCATGGTTCGTGGACGGCACGAGCGGATGGTAGACAAAAAAGGCATAAAAAGGGGCCTGTCTTCAGGACAACCTGTGACGAACTGTCGGGTTTCATCACTGTGTTACCCTAGGGATCCAGTCGTACCGTACCTCACGTACGGTGATGTGTTCGGCACTGTGACATGAGACGGTGCCAGGGAGGTACGTCCAGTCGTACCGAACCTGAGGTTCGGTACGACAACGGAGCCCCAAACGGGTTAAGCGATGGAAAGCTCCTGCCACTGAGCCATCGTCCAAAACGTCAGTCCGTTCAGGGCCTTCTCCCTTAGGCCCTAAGGCTCCAGCCTGTACCTCCTCAGGTTCGGTATGACTGGACCCGACCCTGGCCCCCGGGCCCCCGTCCCACCGAACCTCAGGTTCGGTACAGGGTGGAGGTGTAGGGTCTTGGAGCGATCAAAGGGAGTCGTTTGGATCCTCCCGCAGCCGTTTGTGGCAGCCTTTTGGCCTTAACCAGCTTTATTACACGCTGAGACAGGCACCAAAGGGAGTCGAAAAGATGCGCGTTCAGACCGCTATATATACAAACGATGGAAGTGGAGATTCTGGAGACCCAGACCATCATAGATCTTGGGCGTGTCCCAGTAAACCTGTAGAGCCATTATCGGTAAAGCATTTATCCTGATTTTGGAGATGTCGGGCCTGCAACCATCATCCACTGGGCCCCGGGATTGATTGGCTTCGAGGCTTTAGGCCCCAATGAAAACGAACCCAGTGGTGATCAGTTGGGCATGTATCACTCCATACGTCGAGTATTTGGATACCAAAAAAACACCCGCAACTTCCGAAATCGCGGTTTCCTGTCTGGAATGCTTTACTCGCAAGCAGTACATAGTAATACATATAGTAGTACTACAAGTAGTGTGGAGATCTCCCTTGGACACCCCGACAGGAAGCTCCAGGAGTCCAGGTCCAGGTAGATACTTATACTTAGATTAGCAATATCGACCCTAAACTAACCACCAGAATGTAGCGCAACAAATTTCTGCAAACATGCAGTATACATGCAGTATACACAGATGTACACTGTTCCTATTGGGTACCGAACCTTTTTGACCGCCCTTTGTGATGTATAGACCATCTTTGATTTGGCTTGCATGGACATGTACTGTACACAGTACGCTACGCGCTTGTGTAACGGGTCTAGCCGATGTCCGCGGCGACAGGAAATTGTTCGGCGGTGATGTCACTGATGCCCACCCAAGAGGCACATGTGGGCTGGGGAATGGCCATGTTTTGGATGGTTAAAACATGTTAAAAAGACTCTTAAACCCCCTAAGCCTGAAGAGGTGTTACAATCTATGTGGGCTGGGGGTGTGATCATTCCGTTCTTCCTCCTTTTCTTTCCTCCTCTTCTCTCATGCTCTCCTTTCCTCCTTTTCTCTCCTCCTCTCCTTTCATGCTCTCCTTTCCTTTTTTTTTTCTCCTCCTCTCCTTTCATGCTTTCCTTCCCTCCTTTCTTCTACTCCTATCCACCATTCCTTTCGTACATTGCTCTCCTCCACTCCTTCCTTCCCCGCACAAATTTGTTGCGGCATTTTCAAGTCCTGTCTATTATTCTTCTAAAAAGTTTGCGCGTTTTTTCTTATGCCTTTCACTTTCAATTCCCCTTCCGCTTTCTTTTCCCATTCCTTTCCTTTCCTGTTTTTTTTGTTTGTCTTCTGTTTGAACTGCGTGGGTGGTGCTCAGAGAAGATTGCAATTTGATCTAGTTCTTCTTAAAGAGGTGGGTGTTTGTGCATTGAATTAGGCAGTTCCAATCTGCCATGTTGGAACTGCCCGCGACACACCCAACAAAAATGAGATCCTCCTGGAAACATGAGGTGCTCACTTCGTATGTCGAGACTAGACACGGGACCCACGTCGTGGGTCCGGGGCAAACATGGGCTTTCACGGACCACGTGGTGGTGCCTGAGACCTCCGGAGCATTCGGAAGACCGGTCGACACGAGGAATTGACCCGGTCCTTGGTCCCAAACAGCCCGACTGGTCCCTCAAAACCTAACGAATTGAGACCCCAGACCTCTCTGGATTCGGGTCCGACCCCTCCAGAGGATTCGGGCCCAGTCATGTCGCGGTTGGGGCGGTGCCTTTGTATTATATTGTGCTGGTTGTGCTGGTTGCTGGTGGTTTCTCCGTTGTTTGTGGTTTCTCCAGCTTCGGTTTGCAGGATGCGACACGTGTTCACATCATCGTCAAGAAGACCTTCCTGGAATGCATCCCTGACCGACGCAGGCGATTGTCCCAGGAAGCACCCTTTGGAATGTCCACGCTGGACCTTGTCAGGTTGCCCAATATGTGATATGGAGACCCACATCAGTGTAGCGTATGTTTAAGACCCCGGCAAGGAAGCTGCCGGTAGAACCTGACGTCACCTCGGACCCGGAAGTTGGGTCCCCAAAAGAGGGCTTCTCTGGCCGAGGGAGGGTACCATATCTACCAGATCTGCCCCGTTTGGTCAGCCAGGTGGGGTAAGTTGGTGGCCACCCCAAAGCTCAACAGCAATTCGGTTGTCTAACAGGTTGTGTTTGTCTATGTTCATAGTGCATGGCCACGCACCCACACTCACACCATTTTGGTTGGCGTTGTTTTGTACTCCATGTTTGGGGGGTGTTTGTTTGTGTGTGTGTGTGTGTTTTGAGTAATGACATCAGCATGTCGTCATGTTGTTTGTGTGAAACTGTGTGAATGTTGTTTGTTGCGCAAATCCAAACGCAGCAAGGGACGGAGCTCCAAATCCAAACAATTGAAATAGAACTTCTGGTGGCCAGGTCCTGACCTGGCATATTTAACATATTTCCACGGCCAGGGAACACTTTGTGAATACTCTTGATGAAGTGAAGAAGTGTGTCCCGTTCGTCTCGTGTGTCGTTTGACACCTCCGAGCACTCTGACCGGTGCACTGCTCCGTCTGACGGTTTCGAAAGGAATGGAATGGGATCACAGCACTCCAAGTGTCCAGTCTGTACAGGGCCTTCGATTCACAGAACTGTCGACACGATCGTTGAAGTGGTTTCCTGCATGGCTACGCTGTATGTTCCAGTGAAACTGAGGGAGCAAGATCGCTGCTGCAATGGTTGACGTAGAACCTGGCTGCAACAACGGTATACCCACCGTCCGACGCTCCGTTCACCTCGGTCCCTCAAAACGGATTTGAGGGTCCAGACCCCTCCAGAGGAGGAAGGGTCCGACCCCAAAGGAGTCGGGGCCGAACGGGTCGCGTTTGGGCAAGTCATACGCTTGACTTCCATAGAGCCGGGCCAAATAGACGACTGTTTGTGGTTCATCTCAGGTCCAGACACCACGACGGTTCCCACAAAGCACCACCCGAAGGTGTCAAAACAACTTGACAGACCTAAAGTTCGGATTCCGATTCACCACCTTTTTCATCACATGTCTTGCTCAGCTCTTGCAACTCTTTCGTGTTCGCCACCAGTCGACCCTATACATCGACCCTACCAGTCGGACCAGTCTACCAGTCTACCCGACCAGTGGTCCACACCAGTCTACCCTACTGAGCACTGAGTCGACCTCGTACCTCGTACCTGGGGACTCAGTGGGGACTCCGTTGTACCTGTCTTTGGTTCAGCTCAGACGTCCCTTGTTCTGTTCGGTACTGGGTCAGTCAGCTCAGACGTCCGGTCATTGGACCCCGGACTAACTAGCTCTCCCTGAAACATGGATGGTGGCCCGCCGTGCACGTCTTCGGTGGACACCGCGCGGTCCGGTTCAGGGACGAGGCGCAGAGTCTAGCTGGATGCAGCGAGCCCATCATCGATTGGTCGTTGCCCGGCGGGAGGGATGCCACATCCCTGAAGTCAGGATTGGAATCCCCGGCAACGGCTGTTTGACGGCCAGGATTTGACACAACACCAGGCACCATGTTAAAGCCCATGATAAAGTTGAACACATGAATCAACAACATATTACACATTCACCTGGTTATAGATGAGAAACATTTTTTGGTGATACTAGCTAGTTATTAGTCGTGCCCTAATTCAGGCAGGGCTCGCCAGGGCATGCTTTGTCGCCCGAGAAGTCAATGGGCATGTTCGAGGTTGGGTGGCTGAACAGCCAGGCAGCTCCTACGCTAGTAGGTTGGAGCCTATCGCTAGCGTCGGGTGGAGGCCATCTCTAGTAGGTTGGAGGCCATCGCTCATATTTGTTTGTTCCATTTTCTATATTTCGCAGACCTTACCCTATAGCTAGGGCTCCTGGCCCATATCCTTAGAAGGTGGTTAGACCCCCTGGCACCCACCCCTGGCCCACCAAACCTCAGGAGGTGGTTGGAGCCCTAGGGTTAATACTGCTGGGTCAATGGGCTTGTTCGAGGTTTGGTGGCTGAACTGGAGACTTCCCGTTGGCCCGTTGGCCTGTTACACAACGGGCCCGGACTGGCCCGTTGTGTTTGGTGCTGAACATCAGGTGCTGCTCCGAGCATCGGGTTCGTACGAAGAAACACTGCGTGTGTCGGTCATGTTCAGGTTTTGGGGTGCCAGGAGCCCCTACATCGTAGCGTCCGATCGCTCCGTTCGAGTCGCGATGCCAGTTTCGCCCCCTTCGTAGCTTCTTTGCTCCTAGTTCAGACCTGGTGTTGGCCCCGCCTCTTACCCATCCTTCCATCGGCCCCCCGCATGCGGCCCGCGGCCCTGAGGGATATGGCAGAAGATGAGTCCATTGGTTCCCGCTTGCATGGGCTGCTGGGCGTTGAAAAACGCGGACGACGAAGCTCGAAAACCTTGGAAACCCCGAAGAAGCCGCATCCTCCAAGTGCTCCAAATGCTCCCTTCCTCCCTCCGTGGAAGCCTCGGTGGGACATGGCTGTGGTGATCTGTGGTGCCTATATTTCCTGGTCGGCTAAACAGGTTGGTCTCAGTACGACTGGATCTGCAGATGCATGTGGACCTGTCCTGCCTGGGTAGGTGCAGCAGGCCTTCGACGCCTCCCCTGCGAGGCGAAACACGGTTCATGCGTCATTACATCGGGCATGGAGTTCAAGTGGAGACATTACTTGTTTTGTGTTGCGTGACTTTTGTGTTGTTTGAAGGTGGTGGCGGGCCTCAAAGCCATTGGCAAACACAAAGCAGGCGGCAAGCCATTGACCTACGGACGTGTGTGGATCACCTGCAGGGAAAACCTGCAGTGTGAGAGATTGGGGACAGAAACCCCACTTAAATCCAACAGGGTGGAACATGGTGGACACTTCGGTCACCCTTGGTTTGGTCCAAAAACTCTAGGGCTCCAACCATATCCTTAGAAGGTGGTTAGACCCGCCTAGCACCCACCCCAGTGGTTGGAACCCTAGCGCAGAGTCAGATCGAGTTTTTGGGACCATTCGTATCATTAGTTGCGAGATTGTTCTTAGCAGCTAACCCTTCTTGGAGTTGAGGCTTGCAACAAGTCGTATCAATGTAGTACAAAGCATAGCATAGATTAGCATAGTATATATCCCCAAATCGTTTGAAAAGGACATCCCCACTTTAAAGATGACTTGGAACATGACTTTTCAACCGATCTCCATTTGGGGACCCAGATGTACCAAGGAAGGCTTCCGTGAGAGTTCAGGGCTCGTCAGGCTTTCAGGGGTCCGAAAGCCTGACCGTTCAGCTTCAGCTTGACCGTTCAGCGCAGACCTGGCGGACCTGGAGACTGTAGGTTCGGATGCGGCGTGAAGGTTCTAGGGAAACCCAATAAAAATAGCTTCGGGAGGCCAGTCCCGTGTGAGGTTTTGCCATGAAAACCCATGAAAACTGCTGGTTAGTACACTTCTTTTCTGCTGAAGTCTTCGATATTCTGTATACTTGTTCCTTTAGAGCTCATCCGTCCATGTTTATTTCGTGCAGCCGCAGCTCACTCCCCGGAATCATCGCTTTAAGTGGACCACCACCAGGACCAGTCGAGAAGAATGCTCGTCCGGAGGGCCGTGCTCGTCCGGAGGGCCGTGCTCGTCCGGAGGGCCGTGCTCGTCCGGAGGGCCGTGCCATCCACGAAAGCTTCGTCCGGAGTTCCCGCTGTCCAGCGAGGTCTGGCTTGTGCAAGCCATGTGCGTGGCATTGGAAGAAGGGCGGCCGGGGGTCCTGAGGTCCTTTGGGCTTCGAAACCACCGGGAAACCGGCCCCGTTCCTGTGCATGACATGTACTGCCGGTTGAGCGCAGGTTGGCCGGTTGGACCCTTTTCTGGGTGATGTTGAACTGTTGCTTGGTTGGTGTGTGGTGGTTTTCACGTGTTCAATTTGATAGATTCATTCCTGGTGGTGGGTTTCGGCTTGTACATGTCAATGCCGTAGAATTTGGAACATGCCGTATCTCATCCGTCGACTTGGTCTGTCGAAATCAGCAGCACCAACCAGCAGCAGCAACCCTACACTCGTTTTCAAGACCTTTGGACCGGTTACTGACCTCTCAAAGCACATGTGCCAGATCAATCAGAAGATCTGTGGCTGCCAGATTCCTATGCCCCAAAACCTTTTCCTCCATAAGGCCTGGGTTTGATTTCGTTTTTTGAAGTATATATATATATATCGTGGATTGAGACATCACCAAGTTTGGAGGTTTACACAGGTCCCCATGTATGTCAGACATGTTTGGGTGCAAGTGCCATCGATACATTGAAACCACCGTAATTATTCAAAGAACCCATGAGCCCTATATGGATCCAAGTACCTTCTCAGAAGGTACTTGGACCCTCCAAACCTACATAAATAGTCTCCAATCACCTGAGAAGGTACTTGGATCCCCTAGGGAGTGTTGTTACCCTAGGGCTCCTGGCCCACCTCGGGTTCGGTAATTAGACCCACCTGGCACCCACACCAACCACCCACCGGTCACCGAAACGGTGGTGGGCCAGCAGCCCAAAGGGGTTATTACGTTCTATATGGATGTTTTCTGACTCCTTTTTCTAAAGCCTGCCATTCCCAGACACTCTATGTATGGAATGTATGACTACATTGACCCCCCAAACCACCAACTGATCGGCATATATATGACAGTCCAATTGAGTGTTTGCCATTGTTCTTCTCGTCGATCACCTCTCTGCGGTCTCCCAGGTTGCAAAAACGGCGCGGAGTGCAGGCGCCGGTCGCCTGAGGGTGTCGGACCTCGTGAGGAGAGACACTGGAGCTCTAGCTAGACCTATATGGTAGATCACCACCCCCAGACATGTTTTTTCACAGACGGTTCTTCTATGTTCTTTTATAAGGTGTATTGTTTAGATAGATAGAATTGTATAAGGAGCATGTGCACAGGGGTTTAACTGTCAAAAGGTCACTAGAGAAGATGAACAGCCCTATAGCCTATGCCACATGTATCACGTCCCAGCTCAGGTCTCTCAGCCTCTCTCTTGTTCCTATTTTGTTCAGGGGGTCCATGGGAGTGCATGGATTCAAGGTGTCCTTGTCCCCACAAAACATGCGACTCCTGTCCTGGCCCCCCCAAACAGCAGGGGACCACTCTCCAGGCTCTCAGGTGCGGGTCAAGGCGTCCTCCGTGGGTGGCGTCGGATGGGTTCGGTGCCAGGCATTGCCACAAGTGTCCCAAAGGCGAGGTCACCAGGCGTAAGCGCTCCTCGGAGGGGACTGGAGGCGTGGACACGTGGACACGTGGACGTTTGTGCTTGCAGACGCTTCTGAGCCGCTTCTTCGCCGCCCCCAGAGAGAAGGGAGCCGTTTGTGCTTGCAGCGGAGTTGAGTGGTGTGTTTGTTGAAGAAAGCACCGTTCAAGAAGCTGGAGTTGCTGGTCATTCCGCTGAGGGTGGAATTAATTATGTGGAGGATACCGTATTGTTCACCAAGCTTGGTGCTGAGACAGGAGATGGCAGTGGAGGAAAACGCTGGTCGTGGATCAGCAGTTTTCAACACCGGGAGTGGGAGGGCATGGAGGACCAGACGCGCTGGATGCTTTAATGATGTTCGATGTATATCCCAGGGCATCCAGGCAAACCATGATGTCGCTGGGAGTCCCAGTGGTTCCAAAGACTAAAACCATAGACCGAACGAATCCCTGGTTCCTTATATAGTGGTAACTGGGATGCACTGGGTATATTTTATACATTTATGACGCTCTGTGAGTTCACAGCCCAGTTCCCGGTCCCTCAAAACCGAAGTCCTGGGATTGGTGAGAGGGGCCCTTCAGAAACCCCTCCTTTAAGGATTTGAGTCAATTTTTTGGGTCTGAGGGTTCATGCGCATTTGGGTAGTTGATTAATAAAACACCCTAGTGGACCCTCCCTACTGAGTCAGTGGATAACCTTGAACCTTTTTGAGGGATTGGATTAAAAATCCAACAGGTGGAGAAAGGTTAACCTATATATACCCTCATCCTCAGAGACCTCTCTTTTGGGATGCCTTTTGAGAAATCCGATCCTTCGGTAAAAAGAACACCTTTTGAGGCCAGGTGCGTATTTTGTAAAAGGGACGTATTTTGATTACATATAGGGTTGTTCAAGAAATCGAACCTCACTCAAAGGGATCCATGATCACAAACCATTGATCTTGGAGGGGCAATGCACTGAAGCAGGCCATTTTGTGAAGGGTTGCCTGTTCTTTGAGTTAGTGGTTGTTCGATGTTTTGGGGAAACAGCCACCTCATGGTAACCTCTCCAACCATCCGCTCGCCCTCAAACCCATTTTCATCGCCGGAGCGGAGCGGGGCAAGAGCCCTTGGTCCAGCCAGCACCTTGGCACCAAAGCGAAAAGGACAGGTGGAGTGGAAGGGGGGGGAAAGCCAACTTGTCAGAATTTAACTTTTAGTTTTCTCAAGGGCTTTGCAAAAGTTTTGCATGAGTCAGCTATGACATTCATGCACCTCTCCTTATCCTACCACCCCAACCATAAAATACAAAGAACATGTCAAGTCCTTTAACCTCTTGGCATGGCCCCAGGTAGTGGGCCACTTGGAAGGGTTACAGTACTTCATATCATGCTTGTCAAGCATGCAGCAAAAACTGCTGCTCAATCGTTGCTGGCCCAAGCACAAGGGCTTCATTAGGCTGTAGCGTCCACTGCTTTGAGACTATAATGGCAGACCACCCGCAGCTTCAGGGGCTTATGGAAGAATGGGATCAGTCACCAGCAGTTCGAGAGCACATGAGGACTAAGGGGAAACTCTTTGCTCCCCAGCCTGACTGCGATGAGGTGGCAGTGAATGTTGGTTGTGGTGAGGTCAACTATGAGGCTTTGGCCCCCTTGGCGAAAAGACTTCGCCTTGCAGATGGCTCTGTGGGCCAGGTTAGGGTCCCAGATGTTGTGCGGGAGCCACTTTGGTCATCTTTGGTAAGTTTTTGAGTGTGTGTGTGTTGTTTTTCTTGTTTTTTCGCAGCTTCGTCAGAAGGTGCCTGCTTCACTGCAAGCTTGAAAACCTAGGATCACGAAGCTCTTTCGCAAGATGCACATCCAGCTGCCACCTTCGAAGGAGATCAAGAAAATGGCCAAAACAGCAAAAGCTTTCATGGTCTTGGTGAAACGCAAGTTGGGTCGTGACCAGACTTGTCGCAGCAAGCCCTTCCGGTCATTGATGGCGCTAGTTTTTGACAAGGACATGGGAGCCCCTGACAGCTTGTGCATGGGATGTTGGGCTTTTCTCAACTAATGTTTATTCACTTTCACCTTCTTTTGTTTTTTGCAATCAGCTGGCAGGATCCTGCAGAAGTAGAGGAGGAGGATAGCCAAGTGCCCGTGGAGAACCAAGTGGAAGACATGGAATGCATCGATTTGGAAAAGGATGCTGAGATGGCTGAGTCAGAGGCCCCTGAGGAGGAGGAGGAGGAGGAGGCCCCTCAGGAGGAGGCCCCTCAGGAGGAGGCCCCTGCCCATGACGTTGAAGTTGAGGAGGAAGAGCCACTTCCAACACTTGTCGACATGGATGTTGAGGATTCTCAACTCCTAGAGCCGTTCTTTGAAAATCCAGTCCAAGTGGCCTCACAGCATTCGCCGCCCAAAGGCATTGAGCCAGACATGGGTTCTCTTAACAAAGTGACTATCATTGAGGATTCGCCACCGCAGTCAGTGCCTTCGCATGCCAACAGGGATGCAGAAACCCGCCAGCAGATCAAGGAGCTGACCAAAAAGCTGGCCGATGCTAAGCGGGAACAGCGAGCGAGGTGCCTCGCAAACAATAGTACTATATTTTGTTGTTCTGATTAGCTCCATGCGCTACTTTTGGGAACCTTCTTTGCAAGTATTCTTCCCCTATTTCAATTGCTGCCCAATGTCAGGCAGGCACATCGGTCCCTTGAAGAATGCAAGCCAAAGAAGCCGATTATGGTCCTTGAGAGCTTGCCACTGGGCACTGATGACGTGGAGACCCTGGAAATGCCTGCTTCCGAGCTCAACGCCTTGGCGGAGGCTTTCCATGAAAAGACGCCTGAAGCTCCATCAGCGCCAGTGGTGGCTTGGGTATTTCCAAAAACTGTTTGTTCTTTGGCTTTCTATGGGCTCTGGTAATGGTCTTTGGGTTTTGGGGGTGGGGCTGGGTCAATCAAGATTTGATCAAGCATTGCAACCAGGGTCTCTGCATTTTGGGGGTGGGGCAAATCAAGATTTGATGCCAAGTCAGGTCTTGCGGCGGTCTCAGTTTGCCTTGAAGGCTGACTTGTCGGAGGAGCCGGCCACCAAGGGACGACCTAAGGGCGAGGCAAAAGCCAAGGCTAAGGGAAAGGCCAAATCTCGGGCCAAGTCTGCTGCATCCAAGAAAGGTAGGAAAGCTGCTGCAGATGCTCCAGAGGAGTCGGCAGAAGCAGCTGCCGTTGACCCCAAACTGAAGGCCAGTGGTGGAGAGTCGAAGGCTGATGAAAGCATGGAGGTGGCTGAAGCCGAGGAGGAGGGCCTGGATGCCAAGCCCAAGCGGAACTGCAAGAAGAAGCAAGAGACTGCTGGCAGTGTTTCAGAAAAGGGTTCCAAACGGCGACGCCGTGCCCCCAACAATGCATCGGAGCAGAAAGGTCAGAAGAAGGAGCCTGACGCCCCGGAGGAAGTGGTTGTGGAGGGGGGCGAGAAACCTGAGGAGGAGGTGGGCAAGAAACCTGAGGAGGAGGTGGGCAAGAAATCTGAGGAGGAGGTGGGCAAGAAATCTGAGGAGGAGGAGGTGGGCAAGAAACCTGCCAACATGAGCGAGCCAAAGGGCAGTGAAGGGAAGAAGCGAAAGGGACATGCCTCGGAGGTGCAGGAGAGGACCTTTGCGCGGAGGGTCCGGCCCAAGACTTCGTTTCCTGAAGCAAAGTGGGTGGCGCTTCGTGACGCTTTTGCATCTCACATCAAGCCAAAGGTTTCGAAGCCCTCCACCCACGAGGACTTGTTGTCTCCATGCTTGATGTTGTCAGCTTTCTTGAGCCTTATTGTTTATAACATTATATTAAACTTAAATGCAATCATCTAGAACGTGAAATGATGCAGACGGTAAAGGTCTTTACCGTCTGCATGGATGACCCCTCGATTCCAGTGGGCATGGTGAATCTGTTACATCGATCATTGCACCTTATTTGCCCCCCAGTTCCACCATGGATAAATCCCAGTATAATGACTGTGTCCTTTCCGATCGTAGCCGACCTCGTTTGCGACAGGTTTTGACTATAGAGTATAGAGTAGCAATTCGCTACATGGGCGAACCTTGGTGTCCCACTCTTCTGTCGAAAAACCTGTGAGGACCCATTCTGGAAGTTCGCTACTCAAACAGCCTGGGCCAACAAAGAGATCGACATGTCGAATGTCCATACGATGGCATCAGATGCAGCCGAAGAGTACGTCAACAAGCACGTACAGTGAGCTCTAAACCCGTGCGCAACCCTTTCTTCCATCCAATACGCCACACAACCAGGTAGTTTTTGAGGTGAAGCCGTGGTCTATTTTTCACTTGTTACATTCAATAGTCTTTGGAGTTATGTTGCATATACGCTGTGTTCGGAACATGTGTGGGTTGAAACTGGGGTGGCTGGCACCTGTCATCTGATCTGCAGATGTCATATTCCGCGTTGAACAACGCTTGGGGTCTAGATTCTTAGTTATGGATACTTTGCAGGACATAGATGTCTTATACAAGCAGGAGGAGCCCTCTTGAAAGTAATTCAATCCTAAATCATCTTGAGCAAAACCGTGGTGATGATATACAGGGTTTGCTTCCACGAAGGGCTGCCACTGTTTGCTGACTGGCCCTGCAATGATCCATGTCGCAGCTAGCCGTGGGAAAAGCATGGCCCAACCTTTGTGAGTCCAAAGGGGTAGCCCGAAAGACTGTGCACTTTGATGGAGGAAAGACATGGGGGTTCAATCCAAACAGTTTTTTGGAACAAGTTCACCCTGCGGGTTGTATGGTTCTTTTTGCTTCCCAAAGACAACCTCCAGCCCCAAAATTACTAAGCCCTGACTGACCAGGACCCTAGAGCAAACAATGCTTTACAAAACCTGACCTGTTTTGCCCTTCGCCCTTCAACCTTTCACGGTCGACGTGACCAACCACCCACTTTGTGATCCGAGGCGCATGGCACCATGGACCGTGGTCAGCCCGGCCTGGCCGAATTCCACGTGGGTTGGAGGGTCAGATGGACTGGAATGCCAGTTGGTCAAACATG